TTATTGAATGGATATTTAGTATGTGTAATGTGCAACTTTAAAATTCAAAAGTCCAAAATGAATTTTAAATATCTTACCTTTAAAGTATCTTCAATCTAATTGGTGAATAAATAACCTAATGAGTGAATATTAAGTTTGTTTGGTAACTGATTGTGATTGAATAAAGGTATAATTTGATGATACTATAATTATATTTACAACATGCATGTCAAATCTTTGCAATTGTTACAAAAGATATTTAATTTTGTAACTTATTTTCATTTTAACATAATCCTTTGGAATGGTTTAGGAAATAGGTATGGTTTACTGTCACCATCTGGTCAATATCATAAATGAAAAATAAATAATCAGCAAAATAAACACTTGCATCATGCTCTTTACATTCCACAAATAAATATTATATGTTAAATTCATGCACCTTTCATTCATATTGTAATATACTGGATTCTGACCAACAACCAGACAATACCATGTACCGGATATTCTTACTTTATAGCGTTTGAAGGATTTTATTTGGTAATAATTGTCAGTCTTCAGAGATGCTTATATTATGTTCACAACATCATAAGGTTATTTTTTATCTTCTATCTTACTCGTAGACTTTATTTATACTTAGTCGCCTAAGCCAAATTTTATACTTTTCCTTCCATATGTACCTATGGATTTCCATAAAGAGTGTGCATGCCTGGAATTTAGATGAACATAGTTTTGTAGTAGCTATCAATTTTATAGACAGCTCAGATAAAAAAAAAAATTGTGGAGGAATTGAAAGATATTTCATAATGACTTCTTATGGTTATCTTTAATTTGATACAAATTTGAACAAGAAATGTTGAAAGACACATATGCCCCCCTTTCTAGCCCTTAATGACTCATATTATTGGTAATTTTCTTATAGAAACTTGTATGGAAGTGTTCAGTTATGGAAAAAGAAAAATAATTTCCTAACATTTATAACCAATCAATATGTAAAATGTAAAGACCCTGACCTTTGAAATAGTGACCCCATTATGACATATCAATATGTGAAGTGATAAATTTTAAGGTAATAAGTAGAACCATTCTTACATTTAAGGCCTCTGTGACCTTGACTGAACTAGTGATCCAAAAATCATTAGGGGTCATCTTCTACATATGGCTATTCACTATGTGAACTAAAAAGTCTTTGTGATAACTATTCTGACATTTCAGGCCCCTGTAAGCTTGACCTTTGACCTAATGACCCCAACATCAATAGGGGTTATCTACTAGTTATTACCAATCAGTATGTGAAATATGAGGACTTTGTGATAAATAGTTTTCAAGGTAATGAGCGGAAATTATAAAGACACAGAAGGCCCCTGTGACTAGGTCAAAGTTCAAGGTCACAGGGGCCTAAAATGTCAAAATCATTTCTGCTGATTATCCCAAAAAGTCTTCATATATCACACAGTGATTGGTCATAACAAGTAGATGACCCCTATTGATTTGGGGTCACTAGGTCAAAGGTAACAGGGGCCGCCTTAAATGTCTAAATGGTTTCTGCTGATTATCTTGAAAACAAGTAGTCAGAAAGTCATCATATTTCACATAGTGTTTGGCCATAACTGGTAGATGACCCCTATTGATTTTGGGGTCAAAGGTCAAGGTCACAGGAGCCTTGAATGGCAGTATGGTTTCCGCATCATCTTGAAAGCTAGTTATCACAATGTTTTCATATTTCACATAGTGATTGGTCATTACTTGTTATTCACAAAACTGGCATAATACTGTTGATTCTTCTCCTAAAGCTTTACATTACAAGTACTTTAAGACTTTACTTAATGTTGAACGATATTTAAGTTTAGATTTAGCATATAAGTATAGAAGAGCTTTTTCTAATTTTCGCTGTTCATGTCATAATCTTATGATAGAGAAAGGTAGACATATTGGAATAGATAGAGATTTAAGATATGATATTGCTTTCATTGCCTAAAGACAAATGTTTATGTTATTGAGGATATCATTTTTTAGCTCGACTTTGTTTTTTTTGAAAAAAAAGTAGAGGTATTGTTATAGTCGCGGCGGCGTTGCCGTCCGCAAACTTGTACCTGGATCATAACTTTTTTATTTCTTTGTGTATTGTCTTCATACTTGGCCACAACAACCTTTGGGACAAGACCTTTCAGAAGACCACACTAACCTTGACCTTCATCCATAAATGACCTTGACCTTCAAGGTTAAAAGTCCAAATTTTGCTTGTTCATGCTGTTATTGGCTGTAACTTTGTTATTTTTGAATGGATTGTCTTCAAACTTGAACATAATAATCTTCAAGGATAACCCTTAAAAATAACTTGACAGACCTTGACCTTCTTTCATAAATGACCTTGACTTTGAAGGTCAAATTATTGAAATTTTCATGTTTTTGGCTATTATTGGCTGTAACTTTGTTATTTTTGAATGGATTGTCTTCAAACTTGAACATAATAGTCTTCAAGGATAACCCTTAAAATTAACCCGACAGACCTTGACCTTATCTCATAAATGACCATGACTTTGAAGGTCAAATTATTGAAATTTTCATGTTTTTGACTAACATTGGCTGTAACTTTGTTATTTTTGAATGGATTGTCTTCAAACTTGAACATAATAATCTTCAAGGATAACCCTTAAAAATAATCCGACAGACCTTGACCTTCACTCATGAATGACCTTGACTTTGTTTTGGCTGTAACTAGCTGTTACTTTGCTATTATTGAAGGGATCAACTTCATATTATAATAGAACATACTTAAAGACAAGACCTTGTTGTTTATCGTGACTTCACCACGTGACTCCACCACGTGACTTCACAACATGACTCCACCACGTGACTCCACCTCGTGACTCCACCACGTGACTCCACCACGTGACTCCACCACTTGACTCCACCATGTGACTCCACCATGTGACTACCACGTGACTTCCACGTGACTCCACCACGTGACTTCACCATGTGACTCCAGCACATGACTCCACCACGTGACTATACCACGTGACTCCACCACGTGACTCCACCACGTGACTTCACCAGGTGACCCCACCACATGAATACCACGTGACTCCACCACATGACTTCACCACGTGACTCCACCACATGACTCCACCACGTGACTCCACCACGTGACACCACCACGTGACACCACCACGAGACTTCACCACGTGACACCACCACGAGACTTCACCATGTGACACCACCATGTGACCTCTAATTGGGTGTCTCTATTTATATATATATATGAATTAGTAAATTTATTTATATAAAATATATAGACAAAACTAATGTGACAAAACAGAATGATTAATTTTATAAAAAAGGAAACGTTAATATTTTGTTCAAACATTTCTTTGTTTGCTTTTAGAGAAAGTAAAAAGTCGAGTGTTGCCCCCGCCCGGCGGTGGCTCTTGTTCATTGAATGTTCACTGTATAACAATATCAGAGCTGTCTATTTTAAATATACATGGTTACATCATCATTCCCACCATTTATTTTATTCTCTCATGTCATCAACAATAACAAATGAAGTAATATCTATTGCTAAATATATATATTATGCAATGAATGTAAGAAAGGAAGAGCTAAATACTGTATAATTATTTACAAATTCAATTCATTACATCTAGTAACAAATGTATTTACAATTTATCACTCTACTGTTTGATGTATTGTTGTACTTTGTATTTTGGGCCTAAGGCCTATATTACAAGAAATAAACTGAAACTGGTCATTACTACTAGATGACCCCTATAGATTTTAGGATCACAAGGTCAAAGGTCAAGGTCACAGGGGCCTGGAATGGTAGTATGGTTTCTGCTTGATATTTTAAAAACAAGTTATCACAAAGTCTTCATATTTCACATATTGATTGGTCATAACTATTAGATGACCCCTATTGATTTTGGGGTAACAAGGTTTAAGGTCAAGGTCACAGGTGTCTTAAGTGGTAGTATGGTTTCTGCTTATTATCTTGAAAACAATTTATTGCAATGTCTTCATATTTCACATATTGATTGGTCATAACTATAAGATGACCCCTATTGATTTTGGTGTAACTAGGTTAAAGGCAAGGTCACAGGAACCTTAAATATCAGAATGGTTCCCGCTCATTATCTTGAAAACAATTTATCACAGATACTTCATATTTCACATATTGATTGGTCATAACTATTAGATGACTACCACTATTGATTTAGGGGTCACTAGCTTAAAGGTTAAGGTCACAGGTGTCTTAAATGTCAGAATGGTTTGTGCTCATTATCATGAAAACAGTTTATCACAAAGTTTTCATATTTCACATATTGAATAGCCATATATAGTAGATGACTGCTATTGATTTTGAAATCACTAGTTTAAAGGTCAAGGTCACAGGAACCTTAAATGTAAATATAGTTTCCGCTTATTACCATGAAAACTTTATCACTAAGTCTTCATATTTAACATTTTCATTAGTCATAATTGGGTCACTAGTTCAAAAGTCAAGGTCTTTATGTTTCACATATTGATAGGTTAAAACTAGTAGGTCATTATTTTTCTTTTTTCCATAACTGAACACTTCCATGTTCCAATTTGTGGCAAGTTTCTATAATAAAATTACCAATAATGTGATACTGTTGGGAAAAGGCGTAAAATGAAACAAAAAAAACAAAAAAACAATAATGTGAGTCAAGGGCTAGAAAGCGGGCATATGTGTCGTTCGACATTTCTTGTTCTCTTATACATTTTATCATCTGATATGGATAAAACCAGTGATGTGTGAGATGTTATGTTAGCTTTATATGAACATATATATAATTATACAGGCCCACTTTTATGATTTAGGCCCAGAAACTGAAAAAAGGCAGAAAATGAAGATCATGAACTCAACTTTTTCATATTTTTATCATGTTTTTGTCTTAATACCTACACAGCCCACACTCAAATAAAATATTCTGTTTTTTGTCTGGTTGATGCTTGGAATCAATTAGATAGGTGTGTTTATGTATGCCCGAAAATTTAACATAATGAGAAGTAAAGAGGTAGTCATTTGATCAATGTGACACTTGCATTAATAGGCATCATTATTTGAAATTCATTTGTGTAAATGTAATTCAACCTTGGCTCTTGTTTTTGGGGGGTTTTTTTGCCCGAAAGAATTTTGGGCATATTATGTTATACCCCCTGGCGTCAGTCCGTCTATCCGTCCGTCCGTCTGTTAGCAATTTGGTTTCCGGAGCATAACATAAGTTCCATTTGGCCCATAGTGTTCAAACTTCATAGGATGATTGTCCATATTGGGTAGAAGACCCCTACTGATTTTGGGGTCACATGGTCAAAGGTCAAGGTCACTATTTTCTTAAAACTGAAAACAGTCTCTGGAGCATAACTTAAGTTCCATTTGGCCCACAGTGTTCAAACTTCATAGGATGATTGTCCATATTGGGTAGAAGACCCCTACTGATTTTGGGGTCACATGGTCAAAGGTCAAGGTCACTATTTCCTTAAAACTGAAAACAGTCTCTGGAGCATAACTTAAGTTCCATTTGGCCCACAGTGTTCAAATTTCATAGGATGATTGTCCATATTGGGTAGAAGACCCCTACTGATTTTGGGGTCCCATGGTCAAAGGTCAAGGTCACTATTTCCTTAAAACTGAAAACAGTCTCTGGAGCATAACTTAAGTTCCATTTGGCCCACAGTGTTCAAACTTCATAGGATGATTGTCCATATTGGGTAGAAGACCCCTATTGATTTTGGGGTCACAATGTTGAAGGTCAAGGTCACACTATTACCTTTAAACTGAAATCAGTTTCCGGAGCATAACTAAAGTTTCATTTGGCCCACAGTGTTCAAACTTCATAGGATGATTGTAGATAATGGGTAAAAGACCCCTATTAATTTGGAGTCACAAGGTCAAAGGTCACTATTACTTTTAAACTGAAAACAGTTTCCGGAGCATAACTTAAGTTCCATTTGCCCCAGAGTGTTCAAACTTTATAGGATTGTTGTCCATATTGGGTAGAAGACCCCTATTGATTTTGGGGTCACAACGTCAAACGTCTAAGTCACTATTACCTTAAAACTGAAAACAGTTTCCAGAGCATAAATTAAGTTCCATTTAGCCCATAGTTTTCAAATTTCATAGGATGATTGTCCATATTGGGTAGAAGACCCCTATTGATTTTGGGGTCACAAGGTCAAGGTCACTATAACTTTAAAACTGAAAACAGCTTCTGGAATATAACTTAAGTTCCATTTGGCCCACAGTGTTCAAACTTCATAGGATGGTTGTCCATATAATGTTGAACACCCCTATAGATTTCTGGGTCACTAGGTCAAGGTCACTATTATCTTTCAACTGAAAAACATTTTCCGGAGCACAACTTAAGTCCATTTGGCCCTAATTATTCAAAGTTCATAGGAGGATTGCTATTTGAAGGAGGTAACAACTTATTTAATTCCCATGTCTTACAAATGCTTCATCCTTACTAAATCAAAGTACTGCAGCACTGAGTGCGACGGACATGCAACCGGAAAGGCATTAAGGCTTTTTTTAGAAAAAAAAACACACAAAAGATATAACAGAGAAAATTTGTTCCATACAAGTTCCAGATTTGTAGAGCAATATATTTTATGTGTCCCAGTCTGATATAATTCAGATTTTCTACTTTCAAGCATTTAAATACAGAATGAAATTTATGCCTAAAAACTCTGGTCAAACTTGTAAATCAGTGATTTATTCCAAAAAATGATATGTTAACGAAATATTTCTAAGATAAAACCATGCAAATAAACTTCAAGCATAATACATAATACTTATGTGAGAATGTTAATTAGATTGCTTCGTGTACGTGGGCATATAGACAATAAAATATAAGTCATTTGTATTTTTATTTCTCTTGGATATGTCTCATTAAAAGTATTTTTGGTTAAAATCATCAGCAATTAATGGTGTATTTTTAAAAAAAAAAATATTTACAAGGTAAAGATGTAGAGGCCAGAGCACATCGTTTTTATTTTAATTTAAATGTCACTTAAGCACTTCAGTGTTTAGTTGCCCTTTTCAATTTCACACTTAATTCCATTTTCAACTTGTTTGCTTCTTACAATTGTATAGAATTTCTTAAAGTATTGCATGTAAACAAAGTATGTATCCGCTGGTTTATTACATGTATAATGTGTACTCCCTCATCACCTGTCCAAAAGTCAGCACAGGTGATGCAGAATCTATTTTTAGAATAGCGAAGGTTAACTCATATCGTGACCTAGAAAAATATGTAAACAAAACTCAAGAATCGGAAGTAGAACTGATATTATAACTTCCTTCAATAAAGATTACCATGAAAGACTACATGGTGGTAAAGTGTTGAAAAACTCTCTTGTTACATGCGTTTTCAAAAAACTAACCATTGTACTGTATCTAATTTATTAATAACTGCTGGATATTCAGCTATATAAACCCGCGGTATGAGTCACGAAAATAGTTCTTCTTTTATTAATGCGCGAGTTATTCTAGAGTCACGAAAAACTTTTGATTTGTTAATAATAATGTTTTGTTTAACCCATTACTTCATGAGCATTTTGTGAAAAATGGCTGTTTTCATTGAAAAGTCTCCCGTTACAAGTTCAAATTGCTATAATACTATAAAAACTGCTTCAACACTTAAATCAAACTTGGCACAAATGTTGACTGGACCCGATGATTGCCCTTGCAACAACATGCTCAGGCTTAAATTTTCTGTTACCATGGCAATTAGGGGACATCTCAAAATTGCCAAAAATCACTATTTTGCGTTGATTTTTTCCATCCAAATTGATTTCAAAGTGCTGCAACTTCTAAATGGATTGAGATAGAGTCAAATGCTTTTCAGCGTTGGTTACACGTTACCTTATGATCAATCTGGGGTCATTTATAGCCTCTCACAAGTTTAAAATTTTCTTGGCGATGAGGGGGACTCCGCCCTCCTTCAAACCCCCCAAACAGAAGGGGGCACATCCCCATTCTGGCAACCCCCTGATGTATCTTTTGGTTGGGGGGCTGCGCCGCAAAAGAGGTCACTTTTTTTAACAGCATTTCTCAAACAAAAACAAGTGTTGGTGGCCTAAATATGGCATTTTTTCACCATTTGAGACAACAAAAAGGGGGGGGGGGGTGAAAAAGGCGTTAAAAGGCATGTATATAACGTAATGGGTTAATGTAGAAATATTTATTTCCTACCAATAATTTCTTGGAACTCAGAGCTTACACCTTAATTATAGTATAGTTTGCTGTCCTACTTTTTCGACAGTAGTAAATCGTTTCGGCAGTAATTTGCATATTGCGCAATAATACGACGGACTACAAATTGTTTTTATCAATCATATACTTTCATATTTTAACTTGGATAACTTAATTTGAAATTGAAAAGGCTAAATATGGAAGATTTAAGATATCCCGACAAAGTATGGGAGTTTTAAAGGATCAAATTCATGTACTATTTCTTGGGCTGTTATTCGGTTGAGGACACTTGCGCGATTGTAGCCGACAAAATCCCATGTGTAGATGACTTAGTTCTGAAAGTGCCTGAGGGCGCGTCCGTTACAAAAAAACAACACTTTCAGGCATATAATGCTCCGCTAAAGCTCATAAACTATCATTGATGAATTATTAGCTCGACTATACGAAGTATATGGAGAGCTGTCCTACTCGCCCCGGCGTCGGCGTCCGCGTCCGCGTCCAGATTTTAGATTAAAGTTTTGGTGCAGTAAAATATTTTTCACTATAATTTTGTCATTTCTTAAGGTATCAACTTCAAACTTCAAATATATGTTCCTTATCATCAACCACATCTTATGTGACAAGGTTCATAATTCTAGCACCAATATTTTCAGATTTATCTCCCCTTGAACTTAGAATTTTCCTTAAAAAATACCTTTTTTTACTGATACTTTTTTATTATACCCCCAAAAACGAAGTTTGGGGGGTATATAGGAGTCACCCGGTGGTCGGTTGGTCGGTCGGGCGGTCGGTCGGTCGGTCGGTCCAGACGTCCGTTGCATTTTCCTTGTCCGGACCATAACTTGAAGACTAATGGTTGGAATTCAATATAACTACATACAATGGTCAAGCACATTAAGAGGAAGTGCAGTGCACAAGAACCATAACTCTATCTTGACTAATTACAGAGTTATTGCCCTTTGTTACTTTTCCTTGTCCGGGGCATAACTTGAAAACTACTGGTTGGAATTCAAAACAACTTCATACAATTGTCAAACACAATAAGGGGAAGTGCAGTGCACAAGAACCATAACTCTATCTAAAGTAATTACAGAGTTATTGCCCTTTGTTACTTTTCCATTGCTTTCTTTTGTCCAGACCATAACTTAAAGACTTATGGTTGGAATTCAATATAACTACATACAATGGTCAAGCACATTGAGAGGAAGTGCAGTGCACAAGAACCATAACTCTATCTTGACTAATTACAGAGTTATTGCCCTTTGTTACTTTTCCTTGTCCGGGGCATAACTTGAAAACTACTGGTTGGAATTCAAAACAACTTCATACAATTGTCAAACACAATAAGGGGAAGTGCAGTGCACAAGAACCATAACTCTATCTAAAGTAATTACAGAGTTATTGCCCTTTGTTACTTTTCCATTGCTTTCTTTTGTCCGGACCATAACTTGAAGACTAATGGTTGGAATTCAATATAACTACATACAATGGTCAAGCACATTGAGAGGAAGTGCAGTGCACAAGAACCATAACTCTGTCTTGACTAATTACAGAGTTATTGCCCTTTGTTACTTTTCCTTGTCTGGGGCATAACTTGAAAATTACTGGTTGGAATTCAAAACAACTTCATAAAATTGTCAAACACAGTAAGGGGAAGTGCAGTGCATAATAACCATTACTCTATCTAAAGTAATTACAGAGTTATTGCCCTTTGTTACTTTTCCATTGCTTTCTTTTGTTCGGAGTATAACTTAAAGACTAATTGTTGGAATTCATTATAACTTCATACAATGGTCAAGCACATTGAGAGGAAGTGCAGTGCACAAGAACCATAACTCCATCTTGACTAATTACAGAGTTACTGCCCTTTGTTACTTTTCCATTGCTTTTTTTTGTCCGGAGCATAATTTGAAGACTAATGGTTGGAATTCAATATAACTTCATACAATGGTCAAGCACATTGAGAGGAAGTGCAGTGCACAAGAACCATATCTCCATCTTGACAAATTACAGAGTTATTGCCCTTTGTTACTTTTCCTTGTCCAGAGCATAACTTGAAAACTACTGTTTGGAATTCAATACAACTTCATACAGTTGTCAAGGACATTAAAAGTAAGTGCAGTGCATAAGAGCCATAACTCCATTTTGACAAAATACAGAGTTACTGCCCTTTGATAATTTTCCTTGTCTGGAGCATAACTTAAAACGTACTGGTTGAAATTCAAAACAACTTCATACAATGGTCAAGCACAAAAAGAGGGAGGAAGTGCAGTGCACAAGAACTATAACTCCATCTTCAGTATTTATAGAGTTATTGCCCTTTGTTCCTTTTCTTTGTATTTCTAGACTTATTACAGAGTAATTCAATAAAACTTCTTCAATGGTCAACCACATTGAAAGGAAATGCAATATACAAGAACCACAACTATCTTTAATTGCCCACAACCATAACTCTATATTTCAATTCTTTTACAAGGTATTCTGTTACTAGTAACATCCTCATTTCCGAAGCAGTCTTGTGGGGGTATTAATCACATTTAGTGATAGTTCTAGTTTCTTAAGGGATCAACCTAATACTTCAAATATATATACCTTATCATCATCCCCATCTTATGTGACAAGGTTCATAACTCTAGCACCAATATTTTCAGATTTATCTCCCCTTGAACTTAGAATTTTCCTCAAAAAATACTATTTCTTACTGTTTCTTCTTTATTTCTTAAGGGATCGACCTCATACTTCAAATATATTTACGTTATCATCATCCCCATCTTATGTGACAAGGTTCATAACTCTAGCACCAATATTTTCAGATTTATCTCCCTTTTAACTTAGAATTTTCCTCAAAAAATATTATTTTTTACTGTAACTTATTTATTTCTAAAGGGATCAACTTCATACTTCAAATATATTTACGTGATCATCATCCACATCTTATGTGACAAGGTTCATAACTCTAGCACCAATATTGCAAGAATTATCTCCCCATAAACTTAGATTTATTTACTAGAAAAATGTTATTTTTTATTTTAACTTTTTTATTTTTAAAGGTATCTACCTCAAACTTCAAATACTTATACCTTATCATTAATTACATTTTATGTGACAATGTTCATAACTCTTGAAGCAATATTTACAGATTTATCTCTCTTTGAACTTAGGATTTTCTTTAAGAAATATAATAACTTCTTTACTTTTTAAGGTATCTACTTCAAACTTCAAATATATATTTCTTATCATTACACAAATGTTGTGTGGCAAGATCCATAACTCTAGCATGACTATTTCTATAATTATTCCCCTTGATCTTGGAATTAATGTTAACAAATGCTATTTTTTTACTATAACTTAATACGTAATTATACATAATTGATTTTTCTTTCATAGTTTTGTCCTTACTGCGTCCAGTATTTTATTAGTCGAGCTTTGCTGTCTCCTGTGACAGCTCTTGTTTTTTAATTGTTTTCAAATGTTTCTTTCTGCTCTTTTTTTCTAGAAATAGAATTAGGATCAACTGGATGTTTAACAACTGTAACTGATTCCTGTAAGTCACCTGATGCTACATGCCAGTCAAGTGGATACTGTACATGTAACAGTGGATATTTTGATGATAATGGAAGTTGGGCTGTTGGTGGAATTTGTAGGCAAAGTATGAATTATTTTACTTTTATATTTAGTTGGACTATTCGCAGAATAATTGGGCTAATGCAGTCACCCATTTGTAGGCTGGGTCCCTGTGGTTAAGTTTTTGCATGTAAGCAAGTATCTCCATAACTACTGAAGGGAATGAATTGAAACTTCACACACTTGTTCTCTGTGATTATCTCACATGATTTGCATAAGTCCCATAACTCTGATTGCTTTTTTGCATAATTATGCCCATTTTTTTACTTAGAAATTCTTGGTTAAGTTCAGGGTTCTCACTAGGACTTTAAAACATGGAGTCTATGGACTCCCAACCCTAAAAAAGTTGGAGTCCAAAAGCATGTCGCAATTAATATGTTTATAGATTAGTCATTCAATGCTCACAATAGCATTGCTGATATTTTGACTCTTCAAGAGACTTACAAAGTTTATAGTTATTCAAAAGAAACTCTGAACTACATAGTATAATTATTGTTTTGTTGTTAATATTTATTATGAAATTAATTCATTTTAATGCATCAACACATGGAAATCGATTTTTTTTTCACTTTTATACCAAAACAAATTTTATTCTGGTTAAAAAAGTCCACTCTAAAGACAAAAGTTTGTATTTGTAAAAAAAACGTAAATGTATATAGGCAGCGTTTAGCGGAATGAATAAGAAAATCGTGTACAGCTTCACACAGTGTGTAAGAGACACATCCGATCGACAATTATTTTAGCAAATATCTTCAAAAGGGGGCAAATTGAAGATCGATATTTAAAGATTTAATGTTGATTAAATAATAAAGGAACAATTTATTCGCATGTTTGGCTTTGAAACCGAGAATTTTTGCGAAATTTTAGGGTTTCTGGCGAACGTGAAATCTCCGGTGTTCGGGATCAATTTTCGGATAGAATCTAAATATCAAAGAAAAGCGTATGTGTACTAGGCATTTCGGCACAATATCTTAAATTCTCAATACTCTTAAAGAAAGTTTTTGCAAGAATGAAACTAAAGCAAAATTGTGCCTAGAAAATGCCGAAAATATTCGACAATCATTACAATGCCGAAAATATTCGAATTACTCATTTGTAATTTGAGAAAACAGTCTTTAAACTTGCGGCGTAAATAGTCGATAATTTTATCCTTTTGTCGGTAAAATTTGCTAATTTCCAATCAACTGTTGATCAAAGATATTTAATTATCACCTCGTGTTATATCTGGTAATTACATGTACTGTACAGCGCGTGTATACATAAGTCTGATCACTATTGGGTGATAATGATCGGAAGCGTTATCGCTGATTGGCTAATCGCTTCACGGGTCGATGTGCATAGGACCGCCTACCTATAGACTGACACGCGCTGACGCATTTGTGTATTTGTGGTTGTGAACAATCGGTAATGTTTATGCGTCCCCAGGCAAAATTAAGCGTACGTGGAATCCTTGCTCTGAAATATTTGCGTCCAGCTGTAATAAACATGCGTACCGGGACGCCGAAATAAGCGTTCCCGAGAACCCTGTAAGTTTTTGTGTGTAAGCTGGTTCTCTGTGATTATCTTACATGATTGGCACAAGTCCAATAACTCTTGATTTGTTTTTTTCATAATTATGCCCCTTTTTCGGCTTAGAAATTCTTGTTAAAGGTTTTGCTTGTAAGCTGGTATATCCTACTGAAGGGTTTATGCCTTTTTTGGGACAATTTTATGCATTCATAATAATAAAGCAGTGATTAACTCGATAAAACATCTTAATAACAAAATAACAAGCCTTTGTACCTTTTTGGACAATTTTTTGTATTCATATAGATAAGCATTATTATACTCAATGAAACACCCTTGTGACAACTTAAGTTGAGTGTTTACTGTCCTCCGACAGTTTTTGTTATCTATAACGTCAAATTGAAGATATTGATTTTGTTACGCTGAAAACCTTGACAATTATTGACATGAAGGTGATTAAGTTTATTTTATATTAATAAGGTTGTCAAAAGTATTTGATTCTTTAACATTTACCATTGTCCGTCCGTCAATCCATCTGTTCGTTCTCATTTTGCATCGCATGTAGCTCAAACAGTATTTGACCTAGAGTCATGAAACTTTACAAGAATATTGCTCAGCATCCTAGGTATATGCTTGTGGATTTATTCAGTATTTGTGGAGTTACTGCCCTTTTGTAATTTTCAATTTGTGATGAAGCTCAAATGAAGCTATATGAAAGTCTATCATCATCTGTGTGGCCGAAAGTCGGTCATTCTCGGTCCTGGCTGAATAAAGATCGGATCATGTGCGGGCTGAGATAAAATTTCTTACCGTGAAAAATCCTCGGGTCCAATTAAAATTTCTAAGAGCTAAAAATAACCTGCTTTGAAAGTTACAATGAAATGTGTTAAAGAACTTTAACTATATTGAAGTTTGAACGACAAAAGACCAATTTTGGACAAGTCAAATATAGTGAAATAAACAGCAGTTCATAACAGCATCGGTAAATTTTGCCGTAAATTACAAATTTTGAAATTTTGTTTTACAATGCCTTTTGAAAAAGCAGCTGAATAACAATTTAAAAATACTCATAAAATAATTAATCTGATAAAATCAAAATCAACAACAACTAGAATTGTGAATGGTTATGAAGGAAACAGACATTTTTTCGTTTGTCACATATTTTCGCGATGCAGATTTTTATAATACAAAAAAAAGTCACCAAAAGGAAGCCTTGTATTGATAAAATTTGTCCAATAACACTTTAAATATAGTTTATTTATTAAATCCTCTTAGTACTGTATTGTTTACATTAATTTAGAATGAGACATTTGCCAGTGTGTGTTGTACAATGGATATTTTCCTAAGGGAGAGGGTGCGTGGAATCACAGATATATTGTACAAGCTTCATAATGGAATTAATCAAGAAGAAACAGCAAAATTGGGAGTCTGAGGATTTTGAAAATCCTAGTGAGGACCATGATTATTTCTACCGTCCACATTTTGTTTTGTTTCTTCATTGAAAGCCAAACTAAGAAAAGCCGTCATTTTGACATTCACCCAGGTTGTTATCATATAATACTGAGAAATGTCACGGCCTGAAATAATCATCTGAACCAAAAATAAATAACAGGGTGCTGGTCCTTGTGGCCTTAAAAATGAATTTCGCGTATAATCTTCATGGTCAGCGTGCTGCTTGATTTTGTATGTAATCTTTATAATATCTTTAGTCATAAACAAAATAGCTTTTTAATATAATAGGTAAATCTCTGTACATTCTTTGCCAAATTTTCAATGAGCTTAGATGTTATTTTTGCAATAGGATTGTCTTTTTGTGTAGCTTCATTGATTGAATTAATTAATTTACTCATGTAAAAGCACTTTTGATCGGCATAGGCATAGTACATCTTTATTCAACTCTTATAAAATTAGGATGTCTTATTATGTAACAATACATGTAGATCTATATAATTTTTTTTATTTTGTCAAAACATCAATTGGTTTGATGTAAAAGGTTAAAAAAAACAGCTATATCATTACAATCAAGATAATTATTATCATGTTGCTTCCATTCTCAATCTGAATCTATATATATCTTACATAAACATAATGTTAGAACCTATTATATAGAACAAATTCCCAAATATTGACCTCTTCGTGTGTAATATCAGACAGAGAATGGAAAATAAAAAATAAAAATTAAAAACCACCCACCCGCCCCATTTTTTCCCAAAATTTGGATGAGAATCTAGTTTTTTATTTTCTATTGCCTTATGTTGTGTAATGTGTTCCTTGAGTGCTCAAGTTAGAACCAACCAGTGCCCCCACCATCTGTCCGTCCGTCCATTCTCTTTTTTGTGTCGCACATAGCTCAAAAAGTGATTGACCTAGAGTCATGAAACCTTACAGAAATGTTGATCAGCATGTGAAGTTGTGCACCTTGGTATTTTCATTTGGGTATAATTTCCAATTTTCAACTTGTGTCGCACGTAACTAAAATAGTATTTCACCTAGAGTCATGAAACTTTACAAGAATGTTGCTCAGCATGTGTAGTTGTGCACCTGGGTATTTTCGTGTGGATATTTTTTATAGTATTTTTAGAGTTATTGCCCTTGACTTATTGAAAATTTACAATATTCAACTTGTGTTACACGTAACTCAAAAAGTATTTGATCTGTAGGCCTGAAAGTTTACAAGAATGTTGGTCAGCATGTGTACTTATGCACCTTGGGGTTTGCTTGTGGATTTATTCAATATTTGTTAAGTTCTTTCCTTTTAATAAGTAAATGATTTTTAGTTTTCAACTTGTGGCATGTGTAGCACAAAAGTTATTTGACCTACAGTCATAAAATTAACAAAACAGTGGAGTGTTGGGGCATGTGTATCATATGGACACATTTCTGATTTTAATTATATAAGTAGAATATGAACAATCTAACAATGGATATTACAATGATAATAGAGATCAAGCTGATGGAACTTGTACAGAAAGAGTGGCTTACTTGAATTTGAACTGCAGCATACTTAACTATAAGTTATAATGGAGAAAAAAAATTTTTTTTTTTTTAAATTAAGTATTACATCCCCATATAATATGATACCCAAGAATTCATCGAAGATATTCAGAAAAAAGTTGTACATATTTGCATTACTCGAAAATTTAAATGAAAAGATGGCTAAAAAAATGTAACTTTATTTTGCCGATCTGTGCTATTGTTTAATTTCCAAAGTTATATTAAATATCAAGGTCTCGGGTATTTGAAGAATATTTGGGATATTCTACTATAGAATGGACAATTTCCTTAGAACCCTGAAGTAGGATACTTACCAGTCGGTTATAATAATCTAGGTCTAAATAAGATACCAATTCCCTGTGTACCTGATTCAGATGATATTTTGTTACACAATAAAATGAAATTGGCACAAACTTCAGTAGAAGTAATAACTAATTGTTGATATGAAAATGTTGTTCAGTAATTTGCATAAAACTTAGAAGATTTGATAATGGCAGTCCACATATCCTGCAGAATGTTCAGATTTAATTTCCTTACTCTCTCCCCCTCCCCCATTACCTGCCCCCTCTTAACACAGACACCCTTTGGATTTGCTTATTCTGTTTGTCAAACAAAAAATCCAACAGCAACACATCATTTATACTTCTAAATTTGCAAACGTGTTTATCTAGATATCATACTCAGAATAATAACATATAAGAAATGTGACATCAAATTATAAGATCATACCATATGGTGGCAAAATTAAATGTAATACCTGTATTAATAATGATTTAATATTAATTATATTAAATACAAAAGTTCCCTATAGTTAGATTATATAAAAATCCATAAAAGGAAACAACTAGAGCAATAAATATATTAATGTTAAATTAATGCATAAACTTCTAAAAGGAGAACATGTTTAATGTGAAAATATGAAAAATATTATATTTATTTCATTTTAGATCATATATTTTTGTTCAGTTTATGAATATACATAAAATGTATTAGTACATAAAGATTTAGATACATATATATTAACTGTTGTGAATGTCATTCAAAGAATAATTGTATCCTTAGTGTATAATAAGACACGGGTACCTTCATCAAAATTTTGTTTCTGTCCATGTCCCTATATTCTTGATACATTGTGCATCCAGATATTGCACATTTGCATCTACTCCATCAATTTGGGGTTATTTATATTTCTGCGGGTGACACAGATATGATAAATCTATATTACACTATAACATATTTTCCATTAATGACAGCCCTACCTATAATTATATTAAAAACCATTTATTGTGTTTATAGTAGTCCCTTAATAAAGACTTGTGATGTCAGGTAGAGGATTTATGTGTTGCATGGTAAGATGTTTTTAAAGTGTTACAATTATCAAAATTACATTTCATTCAATGTAAAAAATACTTTCAATTCTAAATGTGTTCTTACTGTTTTTAGAAATTGAATTAGGATTAACTGGATGTTCAAAAGCTGTATCTGATTCCTGTAAGTCACCTCATGCTACATGCCAGTCAAGTGGATATTGTAGATGTAACAATGGATATTATGATGATAATGGAAGTGGAGCTGGTGGAACTTGTAGGCAAAGTATGCATTATTTTACTTTATTTTATTGATAAGGTCAAATTAAAGAAACTGAACTAATAACACTAAAATCTATGACAATAATTGAAATAAAGTGGTAGTTTGTTGGCAAATATTTCAACGTCTATAATAATACACAAGATAAAAAAGTTCGCAGGAAAAAATCCACAAACCTACCGTCAACATCACCATGTATTTTATTCCATTTCCAATATTTTCACATAATCCTTTGGTCCATCGACACAGAAGATATAATTCTTCACGATGTTGGTAAATTTTTAACTTCAAAGGTAACATAAACAACGCAACAATAGAAATAAACATCAAGATAATTGCCATTTTAATCCATTTACAAAACCTTTTGATAAATTCAAACGTGGCCCCAGATTTGCCGTGTACAAATACGCCCCACTTTGAAGTATGGGAACCAACATACATTGTATTACCGAATGGCTCCGCCCATAGCTGATTGGTTCCCATCTTCAATGCGCAGCGCATTTTGCACATGGCAAAGCTTGGGAGCAACCTTTGAATTTATCAAAAGATTTTGTAAATGGACTAGCACTAGAAGTTGCAAGGCAAGAGGCATAATTCTGACAGCAATATTGTTTGTGTCATGCCCCCTTTTTATATGCCCGAAAGGGCAGATTATGTTATACCCCCTGGCGTCCGTCTGTCTGTCTGTCCGTCCGTCCGTCCGTCCGTCCGTACGTACGTCCGTCCGTCCGTTAGCAATTTGGTTTCCGGAGCATAACTTAAGTTCCATTTGGCCCACAATGTTAAAACTTCATAGGATGATTGTCCATATTGGGTAGAAGACCCCTATTGATTTTGGGGTCAAAAGGTCAAAGGTCAAGGTCACTATTACCTTTAAACTGAAAACGGTTTCCGGAGCATAACTTAAGTTCCATTCGACCCACAATGTTCAAACTTCATAGGATGATTGTCCATATTGGGAAGAAGACCCCTATTGATTTTGGGGTCACAAGGTCAAAGGTCAAGGTCACTATGACCTTGATACTGAAAACAGTTTCCGGAGCATAACTTAAGTTCCCCAATTGGCCCACAATGTTCAAACTTCATAGGATGATTGTCCATATTGGGTAGAAAGACCCCTATTGATTTGGGGTCAAAAGGTCAAAGGTCAAGGTTCACTATTAACCTTAAACTGAAAACGGTTTCCGGAGCATAACTTAAGTTCATTCGACCCACAATGTTCAAACTTCATAGATGATTGTCCATATTGGAAGAAGACCCCTATTGATTTTGGGTCACAAGGTCAAAGTCAAGGTCACTCATGACCTTGATACTGAAAAACTTTTTCCGGAAGCATAACTTAAGTTCCCAATTGGCCAACAATGTTCAAACTTCATAGGATGATTGTCCATTTGGGTAGAAGACCCCTATTTTTTGGGTCAAAAGGTCAAAGGTCAAGGTCACTATTACCTTATAACTGAAAACAGTTTCCGAGCATAACTTAAGTTCCATTCGGACCCCACAATGTTCAACTTCATAGGATGATTGTCCATATTGGGGAAGAAGACCCCTATTGATTTTGGGGTCACAAGGTCAAAGGTCAAGGTCACTATGACCTTGATACTGAAAACAGTTTTCCGGAGCATAACTTAAGTTTCCAATTGGCCCACAATGTTTCAAACTACATAGGATGATTGTCCATATTGGGTAGAAGACCCCTATTGATTTTGGGGTCAAAAGGTCAAAGGTCAAGGTCACTAAATACCTTGATACTGAAAACAGTTTCCAGAGCATAACTTAAGTTCCGTTCGACCCACAATGTTCAAACTTCATAGGATGATTGTCCATATTGGGTAGAAGACCCCTATTGATTTTGGGGTCAAAAGGTCAACGGTTAAGGTCATCCTTACTAAAAAAAAAAAAATACTTTCGGGCATATAATGCTCCGCCTAGCGGTGCTCTTGTTATATTTTTAGACAAGCATTAACACTGTATGCGGTACTCTTGATTTTTAAGCTTTTTTCATGACTAATTCTTCTATACTTATAATGCAATTTAAATGAAACTTTACAGGATTGATCATCACCTTAAATACTTGCGCATATTTTCTGGTAGAATATTTTAGGACTGAGTTGTGGCCCTTGAATAAAAAAGGCATTTTTTTGTCTGCTACACCGTAGCTGCAACATGCTACATGCTACAAAGTTGCCAACAAACTGTCCAATCGCCCCTTAATACAATTGCTTTATTTGTAATTATCAAGCTACACAGGTGATCACTGAACACTCTTGTTTTGTTAGGGAAAGCCTTAGGAGTACAGTGTTCAAATATACCAAATGAATGTGCTGATGCCAATGCTGCCTGCATGGATGACAAGTGCACATGTGGTGACAATCACTACGATAATAATGGTTTTGATGCGGGTGGAAGCTGTGAAAGTGGTAAGGATCTATTTTTCATTTTAAATTATGTATAAGTGATTTTAAGTAAGCAATGCAAGAATGTTGGCGAATTCCATGAATGAAGAAAATTGCTAAAATTTCATACCATTCCACAATTGGCTTACTTTACGACACATGGAAATATCCACTTATACAGTATATTTTTGCAAACTAAAGGTGAAAAAATTTAAAAGTAACCATAGAGTCAATGTTTGAAACATAGTGTGAAAATTTCAACATTTATTTCTTTTTCTCCTTTTCATTTGTTAATCTGGGCCATAATTTTAAAGAATATGTATACTACCATTATAAGCTACAAAAATGCAATAATAGTATGTAATAATAGAATTTCAACTTTTTCACCTAGTAACAAATAGTCATTTCATTACTATCCTAATTTTATGAAAATTATAAATGAGGATATTTAAGAGTAGTATAACTTACAATTTAACATTAGGCCCAAGTTCTGGTTGCATTGTTTTGGTTGAAGTTTAACCTCAACTCGTAATCCATGTAGCTGAGGTTTTTTAGCTCACCTGTCATAAAGTGACATGGTGAGCTTTTGTGATCGCTTTTCTTCCAGCATCCGTCTGTCCGTCGTCTGTAAACTTTTACTGTAAACAACATCTTCTCATAAACTGCTTAGCCAATTTCATCTACACTTCACAGGAATGTTCCTTTTGTAGTCAACTTTAAAAATTGTTCAAAGAATTTGATTCCATGCAGAACTCTGGTTGCCATGGCAACGAAAGAAAAAACTTAAAATCTTCTTTCAAAAATCTGAAGAGCTAGAGCTTAAATATTTGGCATGAAAACATCGTCTGGTCAGTGTCTACCAAAGTTGTTCAAATAAAAGCCCTGGGGTCCAAATAGGCCCCGCCCCGGAGGTCATTGATTTTCCTGATTTGTATAAAGTAAAAAAAAATAATAATTCTTCTTTAAATACCCATTTCCTTTATGTATTAACTGAGGAAGCTGAATAAAGCAAAACATGTTTTGATACTTAAATTTGTGTTTGTTTTTTATTCAATTGTCCTATCTTTAAAAAACCGAAATAGCTAGAGCTTAGATGTTAAGCATGAAACATCTTTTAGTAGGTGTCTACCAAGTTTGTTCAAATAAAAGCCCTGGGGTCAAAATTGGCCCTGACCCAGGGGGTCATTGTTTTTCCCTGTATGTATATAGTAAAACTTAAAAAATCATCTTTAAAAAACCCTTAGAGCTAGAGGTAAGATATTTAGCATGAAACATCTTCAAATGGGTGTCTACCAAGTTTGTTCAAATAAGGGCCCTGGGGTTCAAATTGGCCTCGCCCCGGGGTCATTGATTTTCCCTTATATGTGTTTATAGTAAAAACTTAAAAAACTCTTCTTAAAAAAAAACCCAAAGAGCTAGAGTTAAAGATACAAAGCATGAAAAAATTTTCTAGTGAGTGTCTACCAAGTTTATTCAAATAAAAGCCCTGGAGTCAAAATTGGCCCCACCCATGCCATGGGGGGGGGGGGTCATTGTTTTTCCCTATACGTGTGTAGTTAAAATCTCCTTTTAAAAACCCCAAATAGCTAGAGCTTATATATTTATCAAGAAACATCTTCTAATTGGTGGCTACCAAGTTTGTTCAAATAAAAGCCCCTGGGTTTAAATTTGCCCCTGCCTGGGACCTATATACAGGTGAGGGATTTCAGGGCCATCATGGCCCTCTTGTTAAGAATTACAGGGACTAATTGTCAATCTGCGAACATTTCTATAAAATTTTAAGTGCTTATGCACCTAATAAAATAAATATTTAATGAAAAATAAGCCAATATAGATGGTCTCTGTATTTTTGTCAGACTGGCAATGTCATCCTTAATGCCTGCTAAAACAGAAATAGAATTTTCTAAGTATTCTATTTTGATTTTAAAAAGAATTTGAAGATGCTAACATTTTGCACTTCTTTACATATAAACTCAATTCTGTTTCAGTATCTGATCTTAAAGTTACTAGAATAACATTTCAATCAGTAACAACTTCAGGATTTAAAGTTTTATGGACACCACCTTCAGGAGGACAAGCATCTCACATTAACATGTATAAAGTAGAATGGAGTCTTAAAAATTCTGATAATAGTCTGGCAGGAGGAAATAGTGAGGTTTCTGCCAGTACTACATCCTTTGATATCAGTACTGGTGTAACAGCAGGAAAGACATATAAGGTGAAGGTGACATCAGTAAACACTAAAACTATGCAAGGTCATACTCGGACAACATTTTTGACATTGGAGCAAGCTTCAAGTAAGTTTTATCTTTTGGAGGATTAAATTACAGACAGAAATAGTGTGAGTATATATCTTAAAAACATGTTAAGTATGACTTTTGTCATTTATTTAACAATTACATGTAGGTCATTGATCTTCTGCATTGGCTGACAAATTCGAAATGATTCTTTCTTTTAGCACACTTGAGTACAAAATGCTGAAGGGTGAACTAAAAGCTTTGTTCATTAAAAAGTTTTGTACATTGTCTATTATCTACATCAGTTCTTTGCACTCCAGAGGTCACAATTGAATTTAAGATATTGATTAAACCTTTTCTAGAGGTTTTAGAGACCAGAGTCTATCTAAGCTTGTAACACAATTCTGAAAATACTGGTACCTTTACCCATTTTGTCATTATTTTGCAACCAATACTTGACAAAAGGGGCAAATGAAAGTGTTTTGATAATTTCTAGCTCATATTAGAATATTTCATCATCTGGGAGTCAAAAACAAACCACACTGGCCAAATATGGAAGAAAAAAAAATACATTTGCACAATTTCAGATTGCAGATATGAATATTGTGTTATAAGTTTTATGATAAAATATTTTTATCTACCTTTTGTTCAAAGTGAACACTATTAATTGTTCCAATTTATATAAAGCTTTATATTTTCTGCATGAAGTTTTACTGTATCATTGTTTGAATTTTGAAAAACAAACTTCCGAAAAATCTGTATGAAAGAAATAATTTTGTATATTAGTTAAGAGCAAATAGTGCTCTTAACTGTTAAAGGGGTATATAGGCAAAATTTATATCTTTTATTTCTGAATTCTTCATCATATATTCTATTAATGTCATCAAAATTAATAAACTTAGCAGTCTAAGATACAAAAAGAATATCCTAGTAATTAGATCTTGTCCATATAAACCGTATCCAGGTGAGTCTTTTGAGCTACATGTATATGGTGATCTTGCTTTTAATGAGTAATGGATTCCTAATTGGTTTGTTGTATTTGAAATCAAATATCAAGAATATTGGGGACAATAACTGTTAAAAACATATATTACATCTATTTTAATCATTTCAGTATTTACTGTCAAATGACAGTACATGTATTATAAGATCATTTCAGTAAATTGTAAAAAACTTAATCAGTTGATTCCTCATTGCTTATACTTAGATTTTAAATCATGCTCAAAGAATTGTAATTTGGTTGGGGTTTTTGTTGTTTGTTTGTGTGTTTGTTTGTTTTTGCAGCAATGTTAGATAAAAAACTTTATTAAAGACAAATATGTTGTATCAGAAGCTCAGTGATATGTAACATGTGTAATTAGAAGTTAAACAGAAAGTGTAGAGGCAATTCAGATACAACTTTTATAAATATATTTTTTATCAGTTTATTATTAGTCATTTATATTATCGTTATTGTTTTTTTAGAACCAAACAAACCAAGGTTACTGACAACTCCAGATTTAGATGCTACAGATCAGCAGATAAACATTGGCTGGAGTGTCCCTAGTAGTGGTTTTGCTCTTTCTTATAGAGTACAATTATTTGATGGTACAAGTCCGCTAACAACCAATGACACTTCTAAAACTTCTGTCAACATTTATTACCAAAATATGAAAAATGGTTATCATTATGATGTGAAAATCTCAGCAAGAAGTGAACTTTATCAAGGAAGACAGGGATCAAGCTATGAAGAGAGTGATTTTTATGTGGAACAAATCACAACAACAGTACAGGGTAACTATACTGATTGCTATTGTTTGAAGTAGATGATTTGTTATGATTTGAACATTATAAATGGTTGATTTTTACTAATGGTAATTTCATTGGGGGAGAATATTGAAATGTTAATAAGGATATTTAATGAGTCAGTCACTTTGCATATGTATGTCTGTAGCCAAACATTTGAAGACGTCCCAGCTTATTGTATCAGTCTTGTTGCAAACATAGACAATATAACATTTTGTATTTCTTCTCTGCCTAAAAGAATTTTTTTAGATATAAAGTGTAAGTTTTGAATAATTATGTATTAACTTTGTTTCAGTACCAAATCCTCCAACAGAAGTTAAATGTGATATGCTGAAAGATGAGTCTATCACCTTGAAATGGTTAAAACCATTGGTTCCAAATGGAGATCTTAAGAGATTTAACATTGAGGTTTTTAATAAGAGTAATGATTTGTTATTTTCTACCAACACTGCTGAAGTTGTGGAAACTCATCAAGTGATGCAACTTAGTCCAGGTATGACTTACAATTTAACATGTAGACAGATAATATCTTCTTGTTAGATAGTAGTTTTGTATAAGATTGTTTTGAATTCATCAGATTAGAGGAGTTCAAACATGGGTCATCTCGGATGAAAAACTAGGTCACATGAGCTAAAAATAGAAAAACCTTGTTAACACTGTTGTGGTCACATTTTTGTCTCAATCATCAGCGAACTTTGTTAGGATGCGTGTCTAGGTTATTGCTCGGATGAGTTCGAACATGGGTCATCTCAGATGAAAAACTAGGTCACAGGAGCTAAAAATAGAAAAACCTTGTTAACATGCTAGTGTCACATTTTTGACTCAATTGTCATCAAACTTTGTCAGGATGCTTGTCTAGGTAATTGCTCGAATGAGTTTGAACATGAGTCATCTCAGATGAAAAACTAGGTCACAGGAGCTTAAAATAGAAAAACCTTGTTAACACTCTAATGGTCACATTTTTTACTCAATTGTCATCAAACTTTGTCAGGATGCTTGTCTAGGTAATTGCTCGAATGTGTTCGAACATGAGTCATCTCAGATGAAAAACTAGGTCACAGGAGCTTAAAATAGAAAAACCTTGTTAACACTGTTGTGGTCACATTATTGACCTAATTTTCTTCAAAATTGTCAGAATGCTTGTCTAGGTAATTGCTCGCATGAGTTCGAACATGGGTCATCTCGGATGAAAAACTAGGTCACAGGAGCTAAAAGTAGGAAAACCTTATTAACACTCCGGTGGTCACATTTTTGACTCAATTATCATCAAACTTGTTTAGGATGCTTGCCTAGGTAATTGCTCGGATGAGATCAAACATGGGTCATCTTGGATGAAAAACTAGGTCACAGGAGTTAAAAATAGAAAAATCTTCTGTTTTAATCCAGAGATCCTAGAAATGGGTCTGAAATTTTGTTTTGATGATTTCTAGGTCAAGTTTGAATATGGGTCACCTGGAGTCAAAAACTAGGTCAAACTGCTCAAATATGAAAAATCCTTGGTAACACTTTAGTGGTCACATATTTGACTCACCTGTCATGAAATTTGGTCAAAATGCTTGTCTAGGTAATTGCTGGGATGAGTTCGATGTGTCAGGTGAGCGATCTAGGGCCATCTTGGCCCTCTTGTTTTTTATTCTATAGAGATGCTAAGATGTGCTTGACCCTAATGTGATCCGGGCAAATAGTTGATTAGTATTTTTGTTACCATGTCCACCAATACATCTGTTAAATAATGCTTTTAGCTCTTCTTGTTGACGAGTTATTGTCATGATATGTTTAACATTTTTGTAAAGATACATTTTCTGAGAACCTGTCAAAGCTATTTACTTTAAGTTTAAACTTGGCAAGTTTGTTAGTATAGCAAGGATAATGTAATCGTACATTTATATAAACTATATATAAACTTAATTAATAGACAAAGTTTTATGCCCCCGCCATGTAAAACAGAAGATTTTTCTATTTTTAACTCCTGTGATAGTGTTACCCTGTTCCGTCATTCCGTCCTTCCGTCATTCTGTCATTCCGTCATCATCAGTTTCCGTTCATTATCTTAGTAACAGCTGCACACATTCAACTCAAATTTGACATATGGATATGTCATGAGAAAATACAGGTCTAGTTCGAATTTGGTCATGGTTCAATGATTTTTGGCAGAGTCATGCCCCTTTTACTTTAAAATAATATGAAATTTTCAGTTTCCGTTCATTATCTCCCCAACAGTACTACACATTCAACTACACATTCAACTCAAACTTGACATATCGATATGTCATGAGAAAATACAGGTCAAGTTCGAATTTGGTCATGGTTCAATGATTTTTGGCAGAGTTATGCCCCTTTTACTTTGAAAATAATATGAAATTTTCAGTTTCTGTTCATTATCTCCCCAACGGTACAACACATTCAACTCAAACTTGACATATGGATACGTCAAAGGAATGCGCAGGTCAAGTTCAAATTTGGTCATGGTTCAATGATTTTTGGCAGAGTTATGCCCCTTTCACTTTGAAAATAATATGAAATTTTCAGTTTCTGTTCATTATCTCCCCAACGGTACAACACATTCAACTCAAATTTGACATATGGATATGTTTTTGAAATGCCCAGGCCAAGTTCGAATTAGGTCATGCTTCAATGATTTTTGGCAGAGTAATGCCCCTTTCACTTTGAAAATTATATGAAATTTACAGTTTCTGTTCATTATCTACCCAACAGTGTTACATATTCAACTCAAATTTGACATATGGATATGTCAAAGGAATGGGCAGGTCAAGTTGGAATTTGGTCATGGTTCGATGATTTTTTGGCAGAGTTATGTCCCTTTCACTTTGAAAATAATATAAATACATCTTAAGAATAAGCAGTTTAAGTTTGATTTGGTCGTGGTTCAATGATTTTGGACAAACTTATCTTTCTTGAATGTTGGAAAAATTTTGAACTTTCAGTTTCAGCACTCATACTTTTGTGGAAATGTATGTAGCCATTATTTTGGCTACAAATATGCATTGAAAAGTTTTAAGGGCTTTGAACTTAAAATGAAAAAAATAATTTGTGCAAACAAATTTGGAACTAAATATTATAACATCTGAAATTTTGGCTGCATGCGGGGGCATCCGTGGCATGATGACACATTTCTAGTTTTCTTTTTTTTTTTTCTAGAGGAAAGGTGCTGCATTTTAGATTAATAATATAAGCAGCTCAGGCTATATATGCAAACAACCGCTTATAAAGGGTAAACCTGTCAAACATCTTTAATTATAACATTGAAATGTTCTATTAACTGGTTTACTATCTTTTTGTGAGGCAGGGAGTGGATGGTCATTGGCTTTAAACCACAAACGTCTCACCAATTTATGTTTGAGGCTTTTAAGGGCCATATTCTTTCATGTGAGGCGACTATTCGGCTAGCTTGTTCTACGCAGGCGCCTGTTTGTGCCTGAAATAATGCACGACGAGGTCCCTGTGGTCATCATCCACATGGTTATCTAAATAGTCGCCATATTACTTTTATATTGATGATGAGACATTAAACACAAACAAAATATAATTCTCGATTCAATTAATTAATTTATCAATTACTTATAACACTATCCTGCAAGAAATGTAGCCACTGTTTATCTCTTGTGATTGTAATAGAAAACTAAATTAGTTCGAATTGCTGGAGTCTCTGCACATCTCTAAGCTCAAGTAGGTGAGGTGGCCTGGTTTTGTTTTAAGTTTTAACACCCGATGTTAGCCAAATCATCTTTTCTATTTTCGTGCAAAATAACCAAATTTGTGTTTGTGCAACATAAAACCAACCAACCAAACAAACAAAATCTATTCTGCAACAATACCTGTGAGTAAAAAATGTCAGACGTTGCTATGATAGCGCAAGCACGGCAGTACATGTAGTCGCTCATCATCAGAGGCCGTTACCTTATAATTACATTTTGAGTGTTATAAACATTCGTTCAAACATTAAAATGGATTTAATGTGTTTTGTTTGATGAAATCACTGTCAAAATCTTATTTACTTTTATGATGTTATCAGGAATTATTCCTGGAATATATTTGTTATATAGAGGATATTTGTTTAGTTCAGTGTAAGATCGGAATATATTTCACCGAGTGAGCACCAAAAGGTATATTTCACGAGTGGCGCAGCCACGAGTGAAATATGAACTTTTGGTGTTCACGAGGTGAAATATATTTCGATCTTACATTAAACTAAACAAATTTTCTTTTTATTATATGCAAAGAAACGTTTAAAAAGACATTTTAACTTACTACTAAATGAAAAGGGCGCCAAATAATAATATAACGTGACGTCATTTACGACGTCACGTCATTAAGTTGGTTTCCAGTACTGTGAACGCTTGTATTTCACTGAAACAACGTACTGGGCTCAAATATTCAAAACAGTGAAATTATCAAATTGATAATTTCACTGTTTAAAACATTGAAATTACCAGTTTTTAACTCACTGATATATTTATATAAACCACGGAAAAGCATGTAATAAACTTTTGTAAAATGTGTAATAGTGGGTGGGGTAATATTTTTATGCAGTTTAAGTAAAAAAATAGTAATCATATGATAATTGCATTTTTATTGATTGACACTATAATTATGTCTCCCCCACCTCGGGGGGAGACATATTGTTTTTGACCTGTCCGTCCGTCAGTCCGTCCGTCCGTCAGTCCGTCCGTCCATTCTTCGTTTCCGGACGATAACTAGAGTTCCTTTTGACCTACAGCTCTCAAACTTCATAGGATGAATGGTCTTATTGAGCAGATGATCCCTATTGTTTTTGGGGTCAGTAGTTCAAAGGTCAAGGTCACAGTGACCGTTGGTCAATTTCTCGTTTCCGGATGATAACTAGAGTTCCTTTTGACTTACAGCCCTCAAACTTCATAGGATGATTGGTCTTATAGAGCTGATGATCCCTATTGTTTTTGGGGTCAGTAGGTCAAAGGTCAAGGTCACACTGACCGTTGGTCAATTTCTCGTTTCCGGATGATAACTAGAGTTCCTTTAGACCTACAGACCTCAAACTTCATAGGATGATTGGTCTTATTGAGCAGATGATCCCTATTGTTTTTGGGGTCAGTAGTTCAAAGGTCAAGGTCACAGTGACCGTTGGTCAATTTCTCGTTTCCGGATGATAACTAGAGTTCCTTCTGAATACATTGGACACTAATCAGTCAACTGTTAAAGGTGGTTTTGTACCCCCTCTCATTCATCAAAAACTTTGCTTAAAAACGAATCCCAAGGATGAAATTGGGAATGGGAGTGTTTTTTGCTGTAAAATTTTTAACTAAACAACCCCCTTTTCAAACTCTGTTATAAACCTCCTCTTGGGCCGATTAACTTTTTCCCTTTAAAAAGCTTCCCCTTGTTTTTGGGAAAATTTTCACCAAAAAGAAAACGGGCATATTTTCCTAGGAAAACCTTCAACTTTGACCTCTTTCCCAATTTTTTAGAACACCCATTGACCCCCCAAAATTTAGG